TGCAAAAACATCCACTTGCGATAGTTATTAGGTATATAACGCACAAAGAGAAAGTGACATGGCAAAGCGCTGCCTGTCGTAATGCCCTGCTTACCGGTCAAGACCAGTAACATATTACATTCATTTTTTCTCTGTCAGCATGGCTAAAGTAGCTTAAGATGATATGTCTATACTAAATGATTCAAACCTAGTCCTAAGTGAACATGCTTTAAACTTTTTGCACCATACCATACTTCTAATGCTTTTAAAATATTTCCAGGTAAAAAACATCTAAGGCATGCTTGCTCACAGATGCATGGCTTTAACTGGACCATAAAACATGTTGGACAGTAACACTCTTAATATTCATTCAAAGCACCCACAAGAGACAATGACATAGCTAGGCATGAAAAGTTTAGCTATAGTATTATAAAATATGACTCAGAGTTGAGCTAAGACAACTGCTAGGTGCAGAAAATAGGCACTTGATGATTTATTCTGGATCAAGCACTAGGGAAAAAAAAGACAAAGCTCCTGAAATTTCAGAAAAGAAGCTAGCCAAACAAGTAATGAACATAACATTATGAATTAAAGGAATGTTAGTATAAAGAAATCAATTAACATTTTATGATACATTCAATTCTTATGAGAAAAAATAGATTATAAAAAGGTCATTTAGTTATATGATAAATCAATAAAACAATACTGAAGTTCTTAGAGAATGATACTGAGCAAATGATGGGCTATTTAAATGTTTACCTGGACTTAGATTTATACATTTTCGCCTCTTACGAACACTGGATAGTGCTGATGTAACGACCCGGCCGGTCGTTTCGAGAGTTGTAGCCCCGTCCCCCCATTTACTACTCCTTTTGTGCTTTATAACTGTTATATGACTTATCAAGTTAGTTGGTTCGGGTTCGGAGAGATTTCGGAATGAATTGAGACACATAGTCTCATAATGGAAAGCTTAAGTTGGAAAAGTTGATCGGATATTCACTAATGGGTAAACGACCATGGATTTGCATTTTGATGGTTTCGTTAGCTGCGTTAGGTGATTATGGACTTAGNTTTGTTAGCTGCGTTAGGTGATTATGGACTTAAGAACGTGTTCGGATTATGATTTGGAGGTCTGTAGTTGAATTAGGCTTGAAATGACGAAAGTTGAATTTTTGGGAAGTTTGACCGGGAGTGGACTTTTTGATATCGGGGTCGAATTCTAATTTCGGAAGTTGGAGTAGGTCCGTGGTGTCATTTGTGACTTGTGTGTAAAATTTGGGGTCAATCGGATGTGATTTGATAGGTTTCAGCATCGTTTGTAAAAATTGGGAGTTTAATGTTCATTAGGCTTGAATCTATGTGTGATTCGTGTTTTTGATGTTGTTCGAGATGGTTTGAAGGCTCCGCTATGTTCATATGATGTTTTGGGACTTGATTGTATGTTTTGTTGAGGTCCCGGGGGCCTCGGGTGAGTTTCGGATGGTTAGCGGATCATTTTTGGACTTGGCAATGGCTGAAGACTACTGGTGTTTCCTGTTACTGGTTTCCTCTTGTGCGTTCGTGAGGAAGGCTTCGCGTTCGCGAAGTGTATCTGGAGGCTGATGAGGATTTGCTCTTCGCGTTCGCGAGGAGGGGGTCACATTCGCGAAAGTTTGGGCAGTGTGTGCATCGCAAACGCGAGAAGGGTCACGCGTTCGCGAAGAAGAGAGGAGGCAATTGGGACCCCACGCATTTGTTCTACGCGTTCGCGGAAGGGTGGTCGCGTTCGCGAAGTGAGGGGTCAGCGAAGCATTGCGCTCGCGAGTGGTTGAACGCGTTCGCGAAGGAGGTTTTGGGCAACAGACGAAATTGTGCTACGCGAACGCGAGGCAATGGTCGCATTCGCAATGAAGGCGTAACTGGGCAGATTATAAGTTTCAAAAATGAGGGTTTCAAGTTCATAACACAAAGTTGATTTGGGAGCTCGGTAGAAGGTGACTTTTGGAGGGTTTTTCATGTGGGTGTTTGGGGTAAGTGATTCCTATCTAGTTTTGGTTAATTTCCATGATTATGCCTTGATTCTATCATTAAATTTGTCATTTGGGGTGAAAAGTTTAGGAAAATGAAGAAGAGTTCTTGGGCTAGATTTTTGAGGTTTTGAATGGGATTTTGTTATAGGATTTGAGTAAATTTGATATGGTTAGACTCGGGGTTGAATGTGCTTTCGGTTTTGGTGATATTTGTTGGATTCCGAGACGTGGGCTCGGGGACCGGTTTTGTGCCGATTTTGGTTTTTTGAGTTATAACTTCGTAATTTCCGGTAGAATTGATTCCTTTAGCCCATATTGATTGTATCGTACTGTTATGGCTAGATTCGAGGCATTTGGAGGCCGATTTGCGAGGCAAAGGCGTGTTGGAGTAGAGTTTTGCTCAAATTGAGGTAAATAACACTTCTAAACTTGGCTCTGAGGGTTCGAAACCCCGCCAAGAGACGGGCGTGCGGGCGTGCACCGTGAGAATTGTGGCCTGGTTGATTCGATGGCACTGTATAGTGGACTTATCTTGTTGATGTCCGTGTTTTCATCATGTGATAAAGTAATTAAGCTGTTAAACATGCTAAAGATCATGTCTAGGCTATATGTCGATACTGTTGGGACTCGTAGTGGCCGTTTCTTGTTGCTATCTTACCGATTTTATTGATATTTCGTACTCAGTCATATTCATTCATTTCACATCATATTTCAATCTCTATTGTTATTTATTGATGCATTATATCATTGTTTTCGGGCTAGTTTCATTGACATGGCGAGCCCGTGAGAGAGACTGGAGAGATTGATTACTGAGTGAGGCCGAGGGCCTGACTATGAGTGACATTTATGGGATCGAGCTGCACGTCGCAGCGGTTATACTGATTTATGATAGCGCCTGGGATGAAGGAGCCCCTCCTGAGTCTGCACACACCCCAAGGAGCGCGATTGATTATATTGAGGGATTGATCTTCCCTAAACATGGATCTTGTCTGAAGCATTATATACCTGGGGATGGATCTTCCCCACAGGCCATATTGGCCCTACTCGGTACTGGGTGACTGATTGTCAGTCAATGTATATATTCCGGGATGGATCTTCCATGGGCCGGATTGGACATATACAGTACTGAGTGATTGAGAAATTGAGAGTGTTAGCACATGAGGCTGTCAACATGGTGCATCACATATAGCATGTGCATTGGCATGTAGAAGTAGAGAAGTTATATTCTTCTTATCATTAAGATTTGATCTATTTTACTATTTGAGTTTATCTGTTGAACTTGAAAGCATGCCTACGTTTCTGCATTGTTATTTCTATATTGAATTATGCCGGTTGAGTTCGTCACTACTTTCAGTCCAAAGTTTGGATTTGTTACTTACTGAGTTCGTTGTACTCACGCTACACCCTGCACCTCGTGTGCAGATCCAGGTGCTTACGGTCACGGCGGCTGCTGAGTGTGGAGTCAGGATCTCGGGAGACTATCGAGGTAGTTGCATGGCGTTCGCTTACCTTGACCCTCCTTCGTTATATTTACTTGTATTTCAGTTTTTACTCTTTAGACACTGTATTAGACTATCTTCTATTGTAGATGCTCATGTACTCGGTGACATCCCGGTTTTGGGAGAGATTGTATTGGGCTGCCTATTTATTTCTGTTTTCAAAGGTTTTCCTTAAATATTAACCGCTTCCATATTTTATTTTTCAAAGCTTTTGGTTATGTTGGAATAGTTGAATAATTGGCTTGTCTAGTTCCACGATAGGCGTCATCACGACTGTTGGTTTTGGGCTGTGACAGCTAAATACAATATCTTGACAAATTATCATCACCATGGAAGAGGGCAATGAAGATGAAGACTAACATGCCAAAAAAATATACAAGAATTAAAAATCTGTATATAATTCATAATTAAACAAGGAGAAAGAGAAAGAAATTAATTTTTCAACTATTAACTTTTCATCCAGGCTTATGGTATATTAGAGTGAACTATTATCCTTTAAGTTTTTTACTATTACTTCAAGTCTCTTAACTATGATAATGATTACGGAATAAGAAGAAACATCTAATGCTTAAAAAATTATCACCAAATGGAAATTTACTTGATATTTGCAAGAGAAAAACAAACTTAAAAGCAGTAGAATAACTAAACACTAGAATTACAAATGACACAATGTACACGGGATATCTAAACAAAACCCAATTACCTATAACTTTTGGGATTATTTTTCCAAGAGGCATATGAAGGATCATGCATGAAGAATATAAGGAGGAATATAGGAAGGATATGTCGGTGAATTAAGGTTATTGTTACGTGATTTTCCTAGATTAACTCAAGTCAGTCCTCCATTTGTGTATATAAATTCCACATCAATTGTGTGTACAATTTTACTTCTTTCACTTTGTTTGGTGAAAATAGTCAGGATACGAGGCATTAAGATATAAATACACCCTCCTACTCAAATTACTTTATTTGGTGAATGGAATATGAAGAACTAAGGAGAAGAATATCTCACATCAAAAGGCATTCCTCATGGACAGTTAGTGGCCAATATAATACGCTTCAACATGCAATAATAAGAGAGTTCATATGATAGTAATCTCTTTATAGTTGCTGCCAAGTTAAACTTATTTGTTAAATGTTGGGTGGTTGATATATTCATTTAGAAATTGAAAAAAAAAATATAATTTGAAGGGACATACATATATTTCAGATTTGGTATATAAAAATTTAAGTAAAACATACATAAAATCCAAACTTGAAAAAATTCTAATTGCAATTGTTCTGGTTTTGGAGTTCCAATGCCGCATTTTCAATTAACTATCGCAAATTCGAGTGAGATTATTTTGATGAAATGCATTATAAAATTAATTTCCTTTATCTTTTTTCATTCCTTATTTCGGTGAAGTCTTTATCTTCAAAAGTTAATTGACTAACTACCAACTAGAAATAGAATCAATAAACTATGAGGAGAGGGGTCAAAACAGGTATAAGAAAAAATTCAAAGAAGAAGTACCTTAAATGAAAAGGGGGCAAATTCTGCTTTCATCTATCAGATAGAAATTTGGTTCACCTGTTAAAAAAAATTTGAGAATTTATGTTCCACTATTTGAAACTTTTCGTTTGAAATACTTCAGTTTGTATGTAGATGGACTCCTAAATAACGTCAATCAGTGTAGAAATATTGAGTGAAAGAGATGGAGATAGATAGATGAATACCCGAGACTTGGTAATCCCAAAGAGATTGAAGATAGATACCGGCAATTGAAGGCCGGAGAACCTATGATTGAAGGGGAAAAACCTGAGGCTTGCTTCGGCGATATGGATTTGAGGCTGAGGGCTTTCTTTTGCGGGTTTACACTAAGGCGTGGGTTTTTCGAAAAAGAAGAAAAACTTGAAAAAATAAATAAATGTTATAAAATAAAGACAGTAAAGTAAAGACAATTATAGAGAGAAACTGATATATTATTCAAACTTCAAACTTATGTACATAATGAACTGAATTCTCCTCTATTTATAGAAAAAAGGAAGCTGTTGTGTAAGCTGCTACTGCAAGCTGCTGTGTAAGCTGCTTGTACGTTGCTGCTACAAGCTGCTTGTAAGCTGTTGTGTAAGCTGCTACTTTAAAATGTTGTACCAGATATAGATAATATTCTACCATGAGTAATATTTATCCATAACGGAGTACCGAAAAGATAAGCTTCTTCAGGAGGCTTATTTTCAATGGAGTACTAAATAGATAAACATATTTACGGCGGAGCCTTATATGGATAAGCTTCTTCAGGAAGCTTATTTACAACGGAGTACTAAATGAACATCCATAATATAATATATTTATAACACTCCCCCTTGGATATTCATTAAAAGATAATGTGCCTCATTAAAACCTTACTAAAAAAAAACCCTATGGGAAAAAATCCTAGTGAAAGAAAAAGAGTACACATATTTAGTAATACGCATTACTAGCTACCTCATTAAAAACCTTATAAGGAAAACCCTGTGGGAAAAAATCTTAGTAAGGAAAAAAGAGTACATAACGTATTTTACTCCCCATGATGAAAACCTTGTTTCAAATATTTAAGTCTCCGCATTCCAATCTTGTATACCATCTTCTCAAAAGTTGAAGTTGGTAAAGATTTAGTGAATAAATCTGCCGGATTGTCACTTGAACGGATTTGTTGCATATCAATGTCACTATTTTTCTAAAGATCGTGTGTGTAGAATATTTTTTGTGAAATGTGCTTTGTTCTATCTCCTTTTATAAATCCCCCCTTCAATTGGGCTATGCATGCAACATTATCTTCGTATAATATTGTGGGTCTTTTCTCACATTCCAAACCACATTTTTCTCGAATAAAATAAATTATTGATCTCAACCATACGCATTCCCTACTTGCTTCATGAATAGCTATTATTTCAGCATGATTTGAAGAAGTAGCAACAATAGATTGCTTTGTGGAGCGCCATGATATGATAGTACCTCCACATGTAAAAACGTACCCGATTTGAGATCTAGCTTTATGGGGATCAGATAAATAACCTGCATCTGCATAACCAACAAGATCTACACTATCTTTGTTAGTATAAAACAAACTCATATCAAGAGTTCCCTTTAAATATCGCAATATATGCTTAATCCCGTTCCAATATCTCCGTGTAGGAGAAGAACTATAACTTGCTAGTAAATTAATAAAAAATGCTATGCCAGGCCTTGTAGCATTAACAAGATACATTAGTGTACCAATTGCACTGAGATAGGGTACTTCGGGACCACAGAGTTCCTCATCCTCTTCTGGAGGTCGGAACAAATCTTTATTCACTTCAAGTGATCGAACATCCATTGGTGTACTTAATGGGTGCGCTTTGTCCATGTAAAAGCATTTTAAGAGCCTTTCTGTATAGGCAGATTGATGGATAAAGATCTCGTCTGCTAAATATTCAATTTTCAGACCAATACAAAGTTTTGTTTTTCCAAGAACTTTCATCTCAAATTCTTTCTTAAGATATTCCATTGCCTTTTTGGAGCTCTTCTGAAGTTCCAACAAGATTTATGTCATCAACATAAATAGCAAGTATAACAAATTANGCGAAGCCACCATCACACTCCAGGACATCGAGATTTTATATGGCCTGTCCACCGATGGCTTGCCAGTTTTACTGCCTGGGAACATGAGATATTTAACTGGGCTGCATATATGGATATGCTGCACAGGCTCACGGGCTTCAGGTCCCNCCCAGATTGCTTTAAACCGTACAAAGATCTTTGTAATCTGATTGAGTACATTTTTCGAGATTTTAATATGGTTCAGGCATTTTAAATCCTTCAGGGATTTTTATATAAATTTCATTATCAAGTGATCCGCACACATGAGCTGTAACCACATCCATTAGATGTATTTCAAGCCATTCACGTAAGGCTAAACTGATGAGANGGGTCTTGTTCCCGAACACTTCGGGGAACCTAGTGAGCCTTCATTTTCTGCATCATATTGCGGACTTTGATGATACAGTCAGTTACAGCTGGGGTGGTGTTGTCCTATCTTTTTTGTATAGGCAGAAGTGTCGGGCATCCATGGGCACACAGAGAGACGTTTGTGGCTTTCTGCCACTTCTACAGGTGACAACTTATTCAAATAATTTGTCGTTTAGTTCCAA